GCAGTTAAGATGCTGGCTAACGCATCTGCATCTCACGTTGAGTACTTGGGTTCAATCCTCAGCTCCAGCTCCTAGCTTCTGTTCCCTGCTAATGCAGACCCTGGGAGGCAGGAGTGCTGCCTGAAGCAGTTGAGTTCCTGCCACCACGTGGGAGACCTGGATTGAGTTCCCAGTCCCCGGCTTCAGCCTGGCCAAGCTCCAGCCAGTTGAGGGCATTTGGGAAATGCACAGTGGATGGGAAGAAGCTCTATTTATTTCTCTTGCTAATAAATCAATGAATTTCAACAACAACAACAACATCCTTGGGATGGGCCTTGGGGTGCAGCAGCTTAAGCTGCTGCTTAGGATACCATGTGCCATATCGGAGTGCCAGTTCAAGTCCCGCCTACTCTGCTTGGCTTCTGATCCAGTTTCCTGGTAATGCATATCCTGGCAGGCAATGCATGATGAGAGTTCAACTGACTGGACCCCTGCCATTCACATGAGAAACCCAGATGTGGCTCCTGGCTCCTGGCTTTTGCCTGGCTCAGCCCTGACTAATGTGGGCATCTGGAGAGTGAACAAGTGGATGGAATATTTCTCTCTGTGTGTCTCTCCCTCTGCCATTCAAATAAAGAAATATTTTTAAATGTTTGTTTTAATATAGAAAGCATTTCAAAAGCTTATATGCCCAGCAATGGTAAAATTACTCTAAATCCACAGAATGGAAAACAGTATGCAGTCATTAAAAATGGTGTCTATGACCAATGTTTAATGTTAGGGGGAAATAGGAGCCATGTAACATTAAATGAACTGCAGGATACAAAATAGCATGTGATAGAAACTCGCTAAGAAAGAAATGGAGTTGGGGCCCGGCGATGTGGCCTAACAGGTAAAGCCACTGCCTACAGTGCTGGCATCCCATATGGGTGCCGGTTCGAGTCCCAGCTGCTTCACTTCCAATCCAGCTCTCTGCTGTGGCCTGGGAAAGCAGTAGATGGTCCAAGTCTTTGGACCCCTGCACCAACGTGGGAGACCTGGAAGAAGCTTCTGGCTCCTGGCTTTGGATTGGTGCAGCTCTGGCTGTTGCGGCCAGTGGGGAGTGAACCAGTAGATGGAAAATCTCTCTCTCTCTCTCACTCTCTCTCTCTCTCTCTCTGTTAACTCTACCTCTCAAATAAATAAACCTTAAAAAAGAAAAAAAAAGGCAGAAGTGCCCTGTGGTGAATGACCCCTGCTTCTTTGATATTTTTCCTTCAGGGGTTGGGGAAGGGGTTGTCCCTTCCCCATGTAGTGTTCAACACGTAGAATATGGTGGAAGTGGTGCTTGGTGGCTTCTGAGGTTGGGCCACGAAAGGCCACAGAGCTTCCACGCGGCTCTCTTAGAATGCTCCCTCTGCAGAAATTCCCTTTGGGGAATCTGCCGTGCTGGGAGCTGCCGGAGCCACAGCGGGGATTCAAAGGCCATGTGGAGGTGCCCCCGGGGAACGGTGCCCACTGAGCCCAGCCCAGTCTGTGATTCATCACAGCCCGGGTGCTGGACATGTGTGTGAAGACGCCTCCAGGCCTGTGCTGTCCAAGTCAGGAGCAGCTGGCCACATGGAATTAGTTACATTCAAAGAAAACGAAGTTTTTAAAAATTCACTTCCTCGGGCACGCCGGCCTCGTTTCAAGTGCCTAGCAGCCAGATGTGCCTGTTGGGCCGGACGGCACCGACACAGCTTATCGCCGCCAGCGCAGGAGGGTACAGCACAGATGTGCTGCAGGTGAGCCTGGCGTGCGCAAGTCTTCTTCCCAGCTGAAGTTCCAGACAGCGAGTGGCAGAGACGCCATCCATCTCCCATGCCCTGTCTGAACCCCTAACCCACAAGATCCCAGTGCATGTGAAGACGGAGGTTTTAGTCCCATAATAAATGGGTGTTTGGGATAGTTTTCTTTTGCAGAGTAGTAACCAGAACACACTCCTTTGATAAGAAAAGGGAAGCTTTCTCTGTAGCCATTACATCCCATTGGTAGAGCAGTGTCATGACGCCACCCTTGCTGCAAAGGGGTCTGGGAAAAGCACCCATTTAGGGCTTTATTCATGAAGAAAGGGGAGGGAGCTGGGGCATGGGAGGTGGGTGAGCTAACTGCAGTGTCTGCCACAATTGAAGATACACACACACACACACACACACATCTACATATTCTATTTTAGTAAGCAGAGCTGCATAATAACATAAGCAACCCATGCTCCGAATGTATTTAAAGTACACTAATAGCACTCACTCACAGAAGACTTTAAATAAATGTTCTTTGTACTTAGAATATCATGAACAGTGTATCACTCCTAGAATCTGCAGCCTAATCTCTTGCAAGAATCAAAATCCTCATCCTTGGCTAATGGAAAGTAATTTCAAGATTTGGTTTGGACTTTTGTTCATCAAGATAACAGGGAGTGAGCAAGTTTTAAGGAGGCACTGTCCTATGAGCCGGAGCTGCTGCGGTGGAATTGTCTGTTCCTAAGATAAATGGGTTAGTTCAACGTTATCTAGTTATCTTTTAATTACAAATGTCCCCGTGTTTCCTTGGGAGAATGTGTGGTCCTCCTTTACAAACTCAAAAGAGAAGCTTCAGGAAACCACGCTGAGGTTTGTGGATTGCCTGTCTTTGAGAAATGCGTAGGAAAGAACTGGTTTCCTTGGTTTTTAATAACTCAATGATCAGTTTAAGTTTGTTGGGGTTTTTTTGTTATTGAAGATATGCATGCTATGATTTGTGTTGTATGGCTGTCTAAAAACAAACGTAACAGTAATGATAACACCTTTATGTTTATATGCTGCCATATTTTCAAATAAAGGTAAAGTCCTGGTCCCCAGAAGTGCTATGAGCCTTCCTATAAACACACGCTGTGAGGGCCAGGCTCCCATAATCCTGTCTCAGCTTATTAGTAAACAGCATGAGGAATAGAGCTGAGAATGGCTCTCTCAGAAGCCAGGATGGGCAGCATGGGGTTGTGTGAGAACTAGGTAACAACTCACGGTACCTCAAGGGCTGTGTTTTACAATGGCATTGGACATTGTTCCCCCAACGATTATCACCCCCATTGCAAGGCACCGCTGGAGGGACTGGGTGGGGTGCAAGGCTGCAGGAGGCAGGGCTGTGGTTCCTGGGGCTACGGCTTGCTCACCAAGAGGAGAGACTGCTGGAGCCTGAGATCAAACTCTCCCCCTCCCCCCTGCAAACCTAACTCCCAGGTAAATGCTAACGTGTGGTTAACCGTAGGAGGGGTTCTTTAAAATGCAAAACTTAAAATTTCAGTGTGTGGCTGGTGATGTTCAAATGATACAAATCTGTTTTCTCTTTTAGAGGAGTCACACTGTCAGGACATGGAGTTTTACTTATTTGTTTGTTTGTTTGTTTGAACAGGCAGAGTTACAGTGAGAGAGAGAGAGAGAGACAGAGAGAAAGGTCTTCCTTCCATTGGTTCACTCTCCAAATGGCCGCTACAGCCAGGAGCCAGGTGCTTCTCCTGGTCTCCCATGCGGGTGCAGGGCCCAAGCACCTGGGCCATCCTCCACTGCACTCCCGGGCCACAGCAGAGAGCTGGACTGGAAGAGGAGCAACCAGGACAGAATCCGGCACCCCAACTGGGACTAGAACCCCAGGGTGCTGGCGCCACAGGTGGAGGATTAGCCAAGTGAGCCGCTGCGCCGGCCAGGACATGGAGTTTTAAATGTGGAACCTTTTCTCAATTGAGAGATGTCACAGATGACCTACTACAAACCTTTTTGTAGGTGAGAAAACTATAAGTTGTTAGAAACTGAGATGAAACTCCAGTCTCCCAGTACCTGCTCTCCAGTGTTTTCTCTAGTATGCTGTAGGGCCTTGGGGAGTATGAGTGTGTCTTTATATTAAAGTCGGGGTGAAATCCTTTTATACCCCTGAGCTAAACAGCAGTTGCTCATTCATTTTTGACATCTGAATTTCAGAATTTAAAATTCCATTTATTGTCATTGATAGTTAATTAGCATCTGATGACTGTTTTAATACTTTTTTTAAAATATCTATTTTTTTAAGAGGCAAAGAGAAAGGGAACTAACTCTCATCTGCTAGTTTGCTTCCCAAAAGCGCAGTCCAGGTCTCCCACTCCGGCGGCAGGAAACCAAGCACTTGAAGCAGTCACACCTGCCCGCCAGGGTGTCATCAGCAGGAAGCTGGAGCCAGAGCAGAGCCAGGGCTGGGAATGGGCCTTCTGCAGGGTTGGTATTTTAAACGTGGACTTACAGACTGTGGACATTCCAAAAGGAGAATCTGTGCCGGTCTGCTACAGAATTCTTGGAGTATGGACAGGGTTGACAAAACTACAATTCATCTCAGCCAAGGCTAACACGCTTCCCTAGTTATAGTGATATATTTTCCAAAGTACACATCAAAACACATGGCCGCCGGCGCCGCGGCTCACTAGGCTAATCCTCCGCCTTGCGGCGCCGGCACACCGGGTTCTAGTCCCGGTCGGGGCGCCGGATTCTGTCCCGGTTGCCCCTCTTCCAGGCCAGCCCTCTGCTGTGGCCCGGGAGTGCAGTGGAGGATGGCCCAGGTGCTTGGGCCCTGCACCCCATGGGAGACCAGGAAAAGCACCTGGCTCCTGGCTCCTGCCATCGGATCAGCGCGGTGCGCCGGTCGCATCGCGCTGGCTGCGGCGGCCATTGGAGGGTGAACCAACGGCAAAGGAAGACCTTTCTCTCTGTCTCTCTCTCTCTCACTGTCCACTCTGCCTGTCAAAAAAAAACAAAAAACAAAAAACAAAAAACACATGGCCCACGCATGGTCCTACAATCTGGATGTTGGACACGGCAGAATTATTTGCCTAATGGTACGGGCAATCCCGCCCCTGGAGTTTCTCTTGGTGAACCATTCCTGAGAGAGCCTACCTAACTTCTTGCCGTTTCTATGCGCCACCAATTATGAGATTAACCGATTTTTATCACAAACGGAATTAACGTTCATTACAGAAAACCCAAAACAGATGAGCACAGGAACGCCGAACGAATCGTTTATATTACATTTCCATGAAGAGGAAGGTTTTTTTTTTTTTAATATAAACTCAAAATGCTTGCCATAGTTTCACAATTCAGTTCTACTCTCCTCTGTTCGCCACCAAACCATCCCAACCCTAATAAAACAAGCCTAAATGTGGAGTCCCCGGGTACAACTTTAGGGATCCGAGCGACAAAAGGAGGCCCCGGCCACGCCCCATCCCCAGACCCCAGCTGGCCCCCGGCTCCTTCCCCTTCCCGCACGCACGGAGACTTCTGAAACATCGTCTCTCCCTGCGGCTCCTTCTCCGGGGTGGGGTGGGGGGTGTGCAGAAGGCGGCTGCACCCAGATTTCGCGCCCGCACAGCGACCAGCCTCTGGCCCGGACACAGAAAGCGGGTTCGTGCCCGCGCAGCGCAGCGGGTCTACGCCGCGCACCGCCTTCCGCGAGCCCCGCTCTTCCGCGGGCGAAGGCCGGCGGCAGCGGCGGTGTTCCGGGAAGCGCGCCCGGGCGCAGGGCGCAGGGCGCAGGGCGCTCCATTCACGGCCCCGAGGCCCGCTCCCGCCCTCACTCCCCCTGGACCTTCTCTCCGCTCCAGCGGGTCCGACTCTGACGTCCGTCTCCTGGATACCAGGCGGCCAATCGCCTGCTCCTCAGGGGCCGCGCGTGGCCAATCAGGCGTCGTTGCTACCTGTGAGTAATATTTTTAGCTGCGAGGGACGCCCCACGGCTCCCAGTGTAGCTCGGTGTGTTTCTCCGCGGCCGGTTCTGACAAGCCGCTTGCCCGTCCCCCGTGGGTCCCTCTCTCGCCCCGCTCCCTAGGTTTCCGCACCTACGTCCACCGAAAACCCTCCGGAACGCGCCGTGTTTATTCCGTGCACCTGTGTTAACGCCCTTGCCATGCACAAACGCACACGCACACAGATACATACGCAGCTTGGCACGGCGGCGCCACCCCCCAGCCACCGAGGGGCCCTGGGAGTGACATGTGCTCCTTCTTACGGCCTCGGGCCACCCCCAGCTCCGAGCCGCTGCGGGTCGCCCGGGGAGGCCTGACGCGGGACGGCGGAGGCGGTTAAACTGTCACCTGGGCGGAAGGTGCGGCGAGCTGGCCTCCCGTCCCCACCCCCAGCCCGGCGGCTTTGGGTTCTGCAGTTGCCACTCTGCCGGTGGCAGTTGGCCTAGGCCCTGAGGTGATTAATATTCAATTAACCGAGCGCACGAGCCCCAGTCCCAGTCTAGACTCCCTCGGCGTGGGCCAGAGGTCGACTTGGTAGCTCATCCACCAGAGGGATTTTCCTCGGTCACAGTCCCGCTCGGGCCTGTGCGCATTTTCTGCACCCGACCCCTCGCTCTCGAGGTCCCGGGCCGTCCGCCCCGTTCCCCCTGCCGCTTTGCCACCTGCTTCGCTCCCCTCCCCCTGCCTCCTGGCGCTCTCGGCTGCGTCCGAGCGTCAGCAGCCCTGCCCCACCCCTTTCTACCCTCTCTGACACGTCTCTCCTCCAATCCCCGTCTAAGTTTCCTCTTGGTCCCGCCCACAGCCCCTCCAGACTGTCGGCTCATTGGCCATTCTGGTGCCCGAGGAGGTGTGGCCTTCCCCCACCCGGGCCGTTCGCCGCCCGACGGGACATGGGCAGGCGGGACTTGGCCAATGGCGTCGAGGGGTAGGGCCGGGGTGGAGCGAGCCGGCGAGAGTCCGGGGTGCTGGACGGGGAGGGCGGGGAATGGTTACGCCGCCCCGAAGCTGTGTGACGCGGGCGGGCGCGCGCACCCCCACGGAGGGGATTGGGGGCAGGGAGAAGAATATAAAACGAGAGGCGGGGCGCGCGCCGCGGCAGAAGGAGCGAAGCTCTGGCCCGGCGTGGAGTGGGCGCTCTACGGGGACGCTGGGCCGGGGCACCGGGCTGTGTGGAGAAGTGAGCGCGCTCGCCTGACCCCCGTCCCCGCCACCCCGAGCCAGAAGCCGCGAGCTCCTGAGGCCCGCCCGAGGCCTGCGTCCTCCGTCCGGCGGCGGCGGCGACGACGTCTTGCATTCGGTCGACTCGCCGCTCCCGCGCCCCCGCCCTGCCGCCCCTTCTGCCCTCCCGGCCGCCAGCCTGTGGTGGACGCAACCCCGCAGCAGCCCGTAAGTATCGGCGAGGCGGCGGGCGGCAGGGAGACGGGAGCCCAGACCGGGGCGCCGAAGGAGGGGCTGCAGCGTCGTCGAGCCCCGGGCCCTCGGGGTGGGGTGGGGGTGGGGGGCTCGGGGACGGCGGCTTCGCGGCCGTGGGCGCGGACGGACAGCTCCCGGGACCCGACGGGAGCGGCTCCGGACGCCCGGCCCCGAGGCGTCGGGCTCGGCGGGGGCCCGGCGGGTGACCGGGAAGGGAGGCCCGGGGCGAGCCGCCGGAATCGGGGGTTGGGGCTCCCGGGAGGGGCGGCGAGCTCGCGGGCAACGCTGGGGTGCGAGGGGCCGGTGGCCGCTGAGGCCGAAAATGGTGCCGGGGAGCCGGTGCTCCCCGGGCCCTGGCCGGGTCCCAGGAGCCTCGGGCGGGGGGCGGGGGCGGGGAGAGGCGGGTCAGGTTACGGCGGGGGGAGGGGAGCGGCTGACCGGCGGCGCCGGACCTGCCCGGTGCCCGGTGCCCGGCCGCGGGAGCTGGCCTTTCCCCTTCCCGTGGCCTTCGTCGTCGTTGTCCCCTTCCTCCTCCTCCTCCCCGGGAGCTCGTACTCTTCCTCCTCCTCCACCTCCTCCTGCTGTAGCTGCCGCCGTAGCGCTTGGGCTCCGGGCGCTGTGAGCAGAAATCTAATGAGAACTGGCTGTTTATGTAATTCTCCACACTCCCGTGTTCAGGCGCCGCCTGAAAACTACCTTCCGCCCAGCCCGAATGCGCTCGGCGGCACCTTCCAGCCATCGAGCCTCATCGGCCGCCTCTGCCCGCACTCGGGCGTGGGGCTCGGAAAGTGTGGGTCGTTCGGGCGCAGCCGGGGGCTCCCTTCCCTTTGTCGCCGCGAGCAGGGGAAAAACGGAAGCGGGGCTGCCAGGTCGGTCTTTGCACGACCTTTCCCATCCATCTCCCTGTACACACAGGTCTCCTTTGCAAATATCTTGTGTTTGCCCTTGATCTTTCCTTATCCCCACCCAGTGCTGACCCAGCAAGCGTGTAAAGGTCGACCTTATCATACGTGCCTCATGGCTGTTCTCTTATCCTGAGAGGCTGGGAGGTGCTTTTCAAAATCAGAATAAAACTCCAGCCCTGCCCTTTAAGCAGAATCATCGGTGTTCGGAAATTCATTTGTCGCTCCCGTGCGGTGCCAGAGAAGCACTTGCTTTGCTCTCGCTGTCCAGGAGGTGTTTCCAGAGGTAGAGAGGGACGCACCGCCAGGCCCGGGGTCGTGTGCCTGCCTTAGTATAGTTAGTCCCCGCGTCCACGCAGGTGATTTAGTGCGTGCTTATCGTTGACTAGGATGACAGATTCATTCGGCCTATAGTCCCTTTAATTTTAGCATCATGTACTTTGAAATGAGTTTTCCTGGCTTCTCAAATTTCCACATGTTTACCGATGGTGCAGATTAAACAGTCTATAACCAGATAGAACTGAGATAGGATTCACTTCCAAGTCGGTGGATAGCGCTAACAATTAACGATCAACTTCTACCAGTGGCATATGTGTGGGGGCTGGGGGTGAGTGAGTGGGAATGCGGAATTGAATTTCCAGTAAATATTTTTGTGAGAATTTGGAGGAAGGGGAAGGAAAAAAAAAGGTATTCTGTAGATACTTTTCTTAGAACTCTACTCAGTAAATGATTCTTTTGAAGACTGTTTATTTCAACTATAAATTTACATCTCCCCGAGATTTTGAGCCTTAAGAAACAATTTTCTATTGCATGTTGATTTCGTGTGGGTTGTGTTTTTCAGGCTGTCTAGCCTATGAGGCATTTTTAAAAAGTGAAATTGCGGGGGGAATAGAGTGAAGGTCATGGGATTTGACGCTGCACGTCTCTTACTTGGACATATCTGCTTTTGTTTTGTTTTCTGTAAAGGACGAGAGCGCCGAAGGTGAAGGATAATCTTCTAAAACCAGCACTTTGAATGAAAATTTGTTTCTCTGCCACACACTGAACGCCTTTTTTTTTTTTTTTTTTTTTTGTGGGAGAGTTGAAACAAACCTAATTTTGTGGCATAGCAGCTATGCAGCTTGAAATCCAAGTAGCACTCAATTTTATTATTTCATATTTGTACAATAAGCTTCCCAGGAGACGTGTCAACATTTTTGGTGAAGAGCTTGAAAGACTTCTTAAGAAGAAATATGAAGGGCACTGGTATCCTGAAAAGCCATACAGAGGATCAGGGTTTAGATGTATACACATAGGGGAGAAAGTGGACCCAGTGATTGAACAAGCGTCCAAAGAGAGTGGTCTGGACATCGATGATGTGCGTGGCAATCTGCCACAGGACCTTAGTGTTTGGATCGACCCGTTTGAGGTTTCCTACCAAATTGGTGAAAAGGGACCCGTGAAGGTACTTTATGTGGATGATAATAATGAAAACGGATGTGAGTTGGATAAGGAGATCAAAAACAGCTTTAACCCAGAGGCCCAGGTTTTTATGCCCATAAGTGACCCCGCCTCGTCGGTGTCCAGCTCCCCATCGCCTCCCTTTGGTCACTCTGCTGCTGTAAGCCCTACCTTCATGCCCCGGTCCACTCAGCCTTTAACCTTTACCACTGCCACTTTTGCTGCCACCAAGTTCGGCTCTACCAAAATGAAGAATAGTGGTCGAAGCAACAAGGTTGCACGCACTTCTCCTATCAACCTCGGCTTGAATGTGAACGACCTCCTGAAGCAGAAAGCCATCTCTTCCTCAGTGCACTCTCTGTACGGGCTGGGCCTGGGCGGCCAGCAGCAGCCGCAGCAGCAGCAGCAGCCGGCCCAGCCGCCGCCGCCGCCGCCACCACCGCAGCAGCAGCAGCAGCAGAAAACCTCTGCGCTTTCTCCTAATGCCAAGGAATTCATTTTTCCTAATATGCAGGGTCAAAGTAGTAGTACCAATGGAATGTTCCCAGGTGACAACCCCCTTAACCTCAGCCCTCTCCAGTACAGCAATGCCTTTGATGTGTTTGCGGCCTATGGAGGCCTCAACGAGAAGTCTTTTGTAGATGGCTTGAATTTTAGCTTAAATAACATGCAGTATTCTAACCAGCAATTCCAGCCTGTTATGGCTAACTAAAAAAAAAGGAAGAAAGAAAAAAAAATGTACCGTACAAATTAAAATGCTCGGGCCCAAGGGGGTTTTTTTTTTTCACCTCCTTGAGATTTTTTTTTTTAAGCTTATAGTAAGGATACATTCAAGCTTGGTTACAAAAATAAAACATGCATCATTTTTCATTTGCCAACCAAGCACAAAGTTATTTTATACTGACTGTATATTTTAAAGTATACTCTCAGATATGGCCTCTTACAGTATTTAAGATATAGCAAGGACATGGCTGATTTTTTTTTTATAAAAAATTGGCACTAATAAGTGGGTTTATTGGTCTTTTCTAATTGTATAATTTAATTTAGTACAAAGTTTGTAAAATATCAGAGGATATATATATTGTTTCTACGACATGGTATTGCATTTATATCTTTTTACTACAGTGATCTGTGACAGCAGCAGCTTCATGTTGTATTTTTTTTACTGAAATTGTAAAATATCCATCTTAAAGACATCAACTATTCTAAAAATTGTGTACAGGATATTCCTTTAGTGGTGGAATTAAAATGTACGAATATTTGCTTTTTCAAAAAAATGTATTTTCTGTTAAAGGTTTAAAGATTTTTGCTATATATTATGGAAGAAAATGTAATCGTAAATATTAATTTTGTACCTATATTGTGCAATACTTGAAAAAAACGGTATAAAAGTATTTTGAGTCAGTGTCTTACATGTTAAGAGGGACTGAAATAGTTTATATTAAGTTTGTATTAAAATTCTTTAAAATTAAAAATGCCTCTTGTCATTTTTTCTTAAGCCTTTGGAAAAGATCTCCCTCTAGAGTTATGCTGTAAATGCTAATGACGGGGGAAGGCCTGACTCAAGGAATCACAGAAATAATGGAAAGCAGTCGCTGCCGCAGTGCCACACAGAAGTGTCCTGGCAGAATTAACTCCGCCGGACCCGTGCTTGGGACAGCTTGCGTTTTTGAGGAAGCCTCTTCAGGCCACCTTTGTCTTTCCATGATGAGGATGGCATATTCAGGCTGTTCAGCCATACGTTCTAGCACGTTTTCAAAGGAGGTGTCACACTGACATCTCAGAGTCAGGTGATCAGAGGAATTTCACTTGTGTAATCTGGGAGAATTTGTTTGAATGTGTGGAGAAAAATCATTGGATTGGTTTTCTGTCTTTGCCTGGGAGATGAGTAAGTTTGATACTTTCTTGGACAAAACTGCTGACCCAACTTTAAAAGATTTAGATCTGTTTACTGATCCTCATGCTTAAAGCTCTGTCATTGTGTGTAGCTAGAGAGAATGTATGGCCAGAATTATTCACAGTTCAGTAATAGATTGCTAAATGGTAGCCTTTATGTTCATTTTCCCAGCTAAAAGTTTACAAGTGGGTATCCAGCTTGCTGATGGGGGGGTGGGGTTGAAAGGTCAGTCCATGTGTCAAATCATGGTGGCTTGGTGAGGATAGTTTTTTAAAGCGGTGACAAGAAGTTGGAAGAAACTAAAATGATGAGTCATTTCACTATTTAAATGCCCATTGATAGTGGTGTTGACACAGCATTGGTAAGAAAATGGTCTTACACTGGAAACTTCCCTGTGCTTTTATACTAAGAAACCAGTCCTGAGTTGCCAGTGAAATAAATTTTGATCTTAAATGAGTTTTTTGGACACCAGTCTACAAAAGCCTTTTGTCACTTACCCATGTGGTTTAGAGCAATACAGAGTTTTAAGGAAATAAGCATTGGATCTAATAAGAGTTTGGCTCTTCCGTTGGCTCCATGGTGAGGCCTTTGTCCTTCAGGGGACAGAATGAGGCTATGAAGAAGTATTGGGAAATAGTGGACCTGCAGAGACCTGGCTGGCCAGCACTTAGCGGTTACGCACTTTTGTTGCCATGAAGTTTGAAAGCTGTCGGAGCAATCAGCAAGGGTTTTAAGCACTAGCTTGTGCTGGAGAGTGATGAGGTTCTAGCCTGGGAAAAAACTAAGTGAAGAAAGAATCAAGGAAACTGAAAATCAGAAGGCAATTCGCATATAAACTAGCATTTGTAACAGTCTGGACTGTGAACATAAATTCCCATTTTAATGATGGAGCTTAGTGATAGGTATTTTGACGAAAGTCTTGGGAAAGTTGCATTTTGGGACATGTTGGTTCGGCAGTTGAGAAGGGTTGAATTTTATCTTGATTGTTTTCATAAAAACTAGTTTGAGCTTAGTTCTTCATAATTTTTTCTTTTAAAGAATGAAGAAAGACCTTGTGTGTGTGTGCCCTTTTGCTCTTTAGGAATGGAAGGTCTTTAAATGTAAAAGGTGTTTTTGTCTAAGACCTCTTTATGGGTTCTTGCCCCTGGGCCATCACAGTTTTGGTGCTCTGAAGGCTTTGTTGACAGTTTGAAGAAGTGATTATTTTCAGGACTTTCCCTTCCACGGACTCCTGTAACCACAGATGCTGTAGCACCCCCTGAATATCCTGCCTTGGCCAAAACGCTGCCTTGCAGGTCTCACAGCTCACCAGTGAGTGAGGAAAATGACACCAAGTAGCTTTCCAAGTTCAGTTCTTGTCTTTGCTGTGTGTGCTTAATTTTTTCTAAAGTCAGGTGCATTGTGAAGTCTTTGCATAGCTTCACTTCTAATAGATGGCAAATACAGGCTTTCAGGCCAAATGCTGCCTTTTCGACAGTGACAGTTCTTATTTAATCCTGTGACCAGTTCGCCTTTGAAGGGGAAGCTAAGAGGCCCGGGAGGTTAGCATGTCTTTCTAATGTATGTTGGTGTCAATGTCAGTCATTTCGGTGCTGGTATTTTGCTTGGGTGAACTGATCTGACTGAATCTAACCTTCAGGACTTGGGTGATTTTTAAAATAAGCCACAGCAATGTAAAGAAAATGAAGTGTGCCTCTTTGGACATCATTAAGCTGATGAAGTAAAATGCTGTTTGGAGGCCTTCCCACATCCTTTTTCTTCCCTTGCATGGGCATGGTGCATCAACTAGCTGTCCTTACTTGACAGGAGTGCTTGCTGACAAGAAGGGCAAGAACAGGTAAGCCCTGTTAGAGGACACGGATGTGGAGTCGTCATTGTTGTTGAGGTATGCCACCCAGTGGTGCTTAATCAGCGTGACCCAGGAGGTCATGTGAGGTCAGAGCTGCTTCAGGTTTTGTGGTATTTGGGGAAGATAACTGTCTTCTGTTTAAAAGATCTAAGATCAATATCTGTGTGCATACAGCTGGAAGATTGTGCACTTAGGTGCGTTATGGTCGTTTTTAAAGACATTCTAAATCCTGCCATTAACAAACACTCATACACCACTCACTGTGGCAGGTGCAGCTTTACCCCAGTTTATTGGGGGTGGGGGGAGGCGGTGACAGGCACCGAAAGCTTGCCTCACCCAGGGTTGCAGGCCAGGGAGTGGCCAAGGGCATTCAGATTGGTGGTGGTTCTGATCTGAAGTCAGTGACAGGAAGCCGTTTTTACTGTGTGAGCCAGTATGTGTTGAGTCGGGTCTATTGGGAGCAGATGGTGTTAAATATGCCCAGAAGTCATAGTGTTGTTTTGAGAGACTGTTATGTCCATTGGCCATAAAGTGATCAGAGGCTATCTGGAAATGTTTTTAGAAATAAAGTTACCTCAATGCTCTGATTTTGTTGGTTTTCTTAACGGGCTCATGTAAATCACTTTCCTCATTCGAGAACCACTGGATGAGTCTTTAAGGACTTCAGTGCCCTTGCCTCAGTGAAATTTTAACTGCTGGCCCCTGTGGCTGTTTTCACACATGTTCTTTATCTCTGCTCACTGATAAACACTCCAAAAAAAAAAAAAAAAAAAAGGCCAGGTGACTTACAAAATGGTCCTCGGGTGTGTGTTTCTAGTACCCATGACTTTTATTTTGAAATTTCGATTAAAGTAATACTTGCACACTTTCAAGGGGGTACAGTGCAATATTTCATTACATACACACGTTACAGACCAACCATCTGCTTTGTTTTTAAATTACTTTGAAAAGCTTTCTTAAGCAAACCTTTGTAATTCTCAATTTCTATATGAACAGGTGTTGTGATGGATGCTCTCTTTGCTTCAATTTTAAAACACGAAGGAAACAAAATGACCTCCCATTTCAAACTTGTTCTGAAAGCCCTTCTTGAAAATACCAAAATGTATTTTGGTTTAAAATAAACCTGGTCACATTTTAAAAGCGTAAGTAAGCTATCGTAGATGAACTTACATAGTCTGTATTATCACTGTTAGTTCTGAACGTGTTTAAACTGCCGAGGACACAGAAGGACCTCCCTTTTGAGTGGGCTCAGGAGAATTTCCATAGCTTCTATATGGACTAACTCCTGATGTACTGAGTTGCCTGCTACATAGATTTTTGTGTCAGTCAGAGTTTGATCTGCTGAGCCGTGAGATGGGCTTTGGGGGTTTTGTTTGAGCTAAAAGTCTTATTGTTAGTGGTATTTGACTTCTAAGTCATAAATTTCTAACAATTTCTCAATATTTGAGTATTTGAGTTTTAAGATTTTAGAAAACTTTTTTTTATAGACAGTCTGTTGATGAGAACTTTGAGATGATGTCACAGCTGGACAAACCTTAGAAGAAAACCTTCTTCATACATGGGATATTTCGTGTCTACAGGCTATTTGAAAGTGCTGGTCTGATTCCTTGCTGAATCCTATTAGTCATTTGATGCAGACAGTTCAGTGTATTCATTTGCAAAATGGGTACAATCAATGATATCAGTCAATTAATATATAGAGTATATGTCCTAGATGCTCTTGGTATTTAGAAGCCATGAAATTCAGAATTTTAGCCATGTTTGCTGCCCTTTGAAATCAGAAAAGTAAATGAAAACCATAACTGTCCTTCTATGTCAATGTTTTGTTGCCTAGTGAGTTATTTGCATCAACCAAGCTTTAAATTCTAGTAATAGCTTAAAAGCTATTCTGTTTGTGCTTAATAAATATCATGGAGTTGTATTTCTAATTTTGAGGCACTGAAGGAAACCAGGATCTGAGATCCTTTTCCACACACTTGGAAACTTGACTTAAGCCCAGGGTACTAGTTTGCATTCTTCATAGAAGCAACCAAAAATGTTGCTAAATTCAAATGTCTATACTCTTGAGAAAAATATAAAAGTAGTTCACATTTAAACAGTATTGGCTCAGGAATAGTAGTAGTTAAAATGCAGGCTCTGATGGGTTTGTCATGTGGATAACGGTGCTAGCTTTATTTTAGTGCAGGTAGAAAAGAAGAGGAGGTTTGCTTTACAGAAGGGAAAAACATTGAAGACTTGGAAGGAAAAACACATTCCGTCTGGTGTTATGAGTACTTACTTCACTGATAAAATATGACCAGTGTGCAGAACAGAGAACAGGTGTAAAATATTTTTAGACAAACCTTGGCATATACCGTAGGTCGCATCCCTTCTGTCTCTATACTCCTCAAGTGTTCAAAAATAATTGCAGAAAAATCACATCGACAAAGTGAGCTAGACGTTGTGCGAGTGTAGGGAGGGGTGTGTGTGCGTGTGTGTGTGTGTGTGTGTGTTGCACTGAATGCTAAAGTCAAGCATAAACTTCCTTCCCAGCCCTCAGGTTGCAGCTATTTTTAGACGCTGGTTCTTCACATGCCCTTCTGCAGCTCTTGAGGTCTCTCTTCTTCTCCTTCCTTAGTAAAATGAGAGAGCTGCAAAAATGTGGCGCCGTAGACTCTTGGGTTGTGTGTCCTCCTAAAACGAGATTCTGACTTAAAATGATTTCATGCTTCCGTGACAGGCAGGGACATGGCGTTAGCGTGGTCATCTAGTAATCGGGTGGACGCTGAAGACTGCTGGATACTGACAGGAATACGATCGGCGTCATGTCAGGAAGGTTTAAGGAACGCGGTCACAGCTATTGTCCCTATCCTGCCATTGTTCAGTCCTTCCCAGGCAAAGTCCTTTTCTCTATGTTTCTATTTTGCACCAAACACAAGTACTCCTTTCAGATGGCTTTTCCTTATCATTCCTACCAATCATCAGTAGTCACTTCTAGTAAGGGTGAAGGTTGGGCTTTGTTTTGTTTTATAATAAACAAGCCTGTCCTTTTTGTTTTGGCTCTAATCCAGATTTGCCTACACCCTCAGAGCTGTCTTCCCAAAAAGAGCTCCCCTGGTTTTGTCAACTGCCAGCGGTCCTGAAGGTCTACCCCTTCCTAGTCCCAGGACACGTGATGGGCACCCCCCCCCAGCATTTTGATGTGATGTGTAAGAGAGCTGCAGTCCCTGGGCAGTGTTCCTAGAAACCGGGGTGTCACAGAGGCTCACTAAGGACTTGGTCTTCCCACAGCTGTGATGGATTTTTACCTGGGGAAATTTCACCTTTCTGAATCTTACAATTAGAAGAAAGGAAGGGAACCTTTTGTTGTTGTTGTCTGGTAACTTAGGAAGAAACTTTTTTTTTGGAAGAAGGCCCCTGTTTATTATCTGAACCACAAAAGTTCAAGGAACATTTTGGGTTCTGTGTAGAGGGAAGATGAGAGAGATGGAGGCAAGGTCTTATCTCCCCCGCAGGGTCCAGCTGAGAAGGATGGGCAGCAGGCAGAAGGGGGCTCGGGTGTGTGTCTTTTATCTCTGCCTTTGCTGGGGTTCTGGGGAAGGCAGACGAGTAAGAGGAGAGGGTCTGTGCACACTGCTTGGGGAACTCACCCTGGGGATGAGTTCGCCTTGGAGGCTGGGCAGAAGTTCTGAGGTTTGGGACGGGCACCTCTAGCAGGCATACGGGTTCCTGCTGGCCACGTGTCTTCTTCCAGATTCTGCGGGAGGGTAGGGAGCTGCTGCTGTGCTGTACGTGTTACCTGTTTGGAGAGTGAGAGTTTCGATGCTATTATAAGTCTTAGGGGGTCCGGAGAGAGTGAGCCAGCCTCAAAAGCTCAGTAATAATAGCCAACATTTGGATGGCATTTACTCTGCACTAGATATTATTCTAAGCACTTAGACATTTTAGATCTTTTCCACTTCCTACCAGCCCTCTGAAGCTTGCCCTGTTTCCCCCATTTACAAAGAAGTAGAGGCAGAGAGCCGGCGACAGCCACAGCCGATGGACCTGGGACCTGAACTGTGGGAGTCTGATCCCCAAGTCCATGATCCTCACCCATCCTGGTGACCTCATGAGGTAGATTTTTTTAAGAGAACCACACAGGGTTACTTAGGAGCAGTCGCCCGAAATGCAGGCTCTGCCAAGTTTCTCTCTGCACACCCAGCAGGATCCTTAAGTGGTTGTTTGCTCAGCAGCCACAAACCCAATTTTAATACCAACCTTTCACAGGCACAATTGGGAAAGTGCCACCTGTTGCAAGAATACAATGGAGTCAGATGTGAGTTTGAGGCCATGTGCCAGTCTTATTTACCCACATCCCTGCTGCTGGCTGGACGAGCAGTCTTCTAAGAAGGAACCACAGGAGTTCACCTAGTGAAGTCTTTGGTCCTAGCCTTTGCTAGCAACTTGTGATAGCTAAACAGTGGTTTGGGCTCAAGTGGCTGCTCTGGGCTCAGGTTCTGCTCTTGTCTGTGAGGATCCAGGCCCTCGTGTCCATCCACCCAGCACATTCATTGAGCATCTGCTGGGCTGCGAACTGGCAGCAGTGTATGTAGCCCGTTAGAACCTTCTAGAAGCTCAGGATCTGGCCGAAAGGTGATGCACAAAGCCCAGATAACCCCAAAACACAAGGACGTGTTGAGATCTGAGACCAGGCCTGACTGTGGGGTTTGAGATCCGGCAGCAATGTAGCTGTGAAAAACTGGTGAAACACTCGTTGGAAGGCCTGGACTCCCTCAGGTTCCCAGCTCCAGCGAGGAGCCGCCCAGCAGGGGAAACACTTCATCGAGCGTGTCCACAGCGGGAAGGGTGTGTGTGGCAGAAGCACAGCCGGCAGCAGGAGCAGCAGCTCTGCGCCAGCCCATTGCTCCTGGGAGAAGCTGCCTTTGCATCTGGACATTTGTCTTTATTTCTTCCCCACTGTTCCAAGCTTTGTATGGAAACATGGTAGAGCGATGGCTTAAAACTTCTTCATTCACCAGGGAAAGGTGGGGAAGACAGGGAAAGAAGTGGTGGGAGGGAGGGAGGGAGGGAGGGAGGGAGGGAGGGGTCAGTTTGTGTAGGAGGAAGACTGATGCCTGTCTTCATAGAGGTTCAGTTTCATGCTTATCCTAGACACCTCCTCAGGCCAGAAGCTCCCTCTAGGGGCCATCTCATTTGTTTTCTACCTTTGGTGACAAAACCTCCTTTTGGTTTTGTGATGTCAGGGTTCACAGCAGGTACCACCCTTCCAGAAGCTGGTGTCAGTGGAAAGTGTGCGTTCATTGCAGAAACTGAGACGCTCCCAGGTCAGCCCCACCCTGCCCCACCCCGGCCGTGGTAACATGTCTTCGCCGAGTTCACCTGTTCCATTTTCCAGGTTGGCTTTTGGATGCTTGCAGTCTCTTCCAGTGTGAGCTTCAGAGAATGAAGCTTTGTGTCGACTGCAAGCAGAAATCAACAGCCCTGAGTCATTTTCCCCGTGGGCCACTTCCCCTGGGCCTGCCCTTCTGCAGTGCCGAGCACCCTATCATCCACTGAAAATACCCCCACAAGCTGGCCGAGCTCCTCCATGCGCCCCAGGCTGCTGGGAGAGGCATCCGCGAACGCGGGTCCTGCTTTTGTGCAGGAGACACCAGTGTCTGCTCCAGACCGCCAGGCGGCGTCACCTGCAGGGACATCTGTAGGCCTTCGGGCCGTTCCTCCTTCGTCCTGTTGCCCTTCGCAGTACCCCCTCACAGCACCTCGAGGGGAGGAGAGCTGAGCCCTGCACCCCTGGAGGTCCCCATGTCTACCCGGAAGACCACACTTCTTCTGTGTGGGCCCCTGTCTGTCCCCGCCTCCCCGTCTTCTCCAACCACCCTCGTCCTGCCCTCTTCCCAGGTCAGCAGGGGAGCCTGCATCTGCTCTCACCCCGTCTCTCTTGGTTCCTGGTCGAGACATGCGGCAGCCACTGTCCCCTCTGGAAGAGTACTATGGGGACTGTTATTATCCCATTTTATAGATGGAGATACTGAGGCACAGAGAGGTTAAATTACTCCCAAGCCACACAGCCGGTATTTGAACCCAGGAGATCTGACTCAGAAGCCCATACGCTTCCATTACTTCACCCTTTTCTCACCGTCACCCACCCTGAACTTGAAGGGGTTTTGAGGACCCTGAGCCCTAAAATATTTGGGTCCTCCTTTTAAAGGCTGATGTGATGCAATTATAGCAGCAGTGAGCACCAACCAAATGATCCTTAGGCTTTTCATCAGCACTTGCATGTGAGATTACAGCTCTGGCACAGGTGCCTCTGCAGAGCTGTTGAGTAACCGGCCTGTTGTCTGATACCTGGAAGGCAGCAGTTTGATGAGCGCATCTTCACCTGAGCTCATGCCTGTTGGTACAAGGGCTGTGTGTGCTAATTTGCTTATCTCTTTAGGAATTCCAGGGTACTGAGAAAGCTGATAGAGAGCTTTGCACAAAGGCCTCTAAGCTTTCTGGGAGGAAAAATGAAGGGATTTTGAGACCAGGTTCAGGGCTCAGAGGCAATGGGGATGATGAAAGAGCCCTTGTATGGCCGGTGCCGTGGCTCACTAGGCTAATCCTCCACCTTGCGGTGCCAGCACACCGGGTTCTAGTCCCGGTCGGGGCGCCGGATTCTGTCCCGGTTGCCCCTCTTCCAGGCCAGCTCTCTGCTGTGGCCAGGGAGTGCAGTGGAGGATGGCCCAAGTGCTTGGGCCCTGCACCCCATGGGAGGCCAGGAGAAGCACCTGGCTCCTGCCATCGGATCAGCGCAGTGCACCAGCTGCAGCGCGCCGGCCACGGCGGCCATTGGAGGGTGAACCAACAGCAAAGGAAGACCTTTCTCTCTGTCTCTCTCTCTCACTGTCCACTCTGCCTGTTCAAAAAAAAAGAGCCCTTGTAGCACTGTTGACAATGGAACCCATGAGGGCCCAGAGTGAGTCCCAGCCACCCCACTGCCCATCTAACTCCCTGCTAGTGCACCTGGAGAAGCAATGGAGGCCCAAGTCCTTGGCCTCTGTCATCCACATGGGAGACCTGGCTGGAGTTCCTGACTCCTGCTTTCAGCCTGGCCCATCCCTGGCCTTTGCAGCCATTTGAGTGACCGGTGCATGGAAGATCTCTCCGTCTCTCCCTCTCTCTGTGTCATTCTGCCTGTCAAATAATTTTTTTTTCAAATAGGACTGATGAGGCCGCATACCAGCATGTGGCTAAGAAAGAAAAACCATGGAATCCCTGGAAGGGGAGGAGCTTAGAGTTAAAATAGGGAGAGCCCTCCTGCCCCTACACAAGTCTGCTGCCGAAGGAAACAAGAAGTATGTGTTAGTCCTCTGTAACAAGCTGTGCAATAGAATTTCTTATGATGGTGGAAATACTCTTGTTTTGTTTTTTGTTTTTAAAGATTTATTTGTTTGTTTGAAAATCAGAGTTACAGAGAGCGGGAGAGACAGAAAGAGAGATCTGCTGGTTCAATCCCCAGATGGCCACAACAGTCAGGGCTGGGGCAAGCCAAAGCCAGGAGCCAAGAGCTTCATCCAGGTCTCCCACATGGGTGGCAGGGGTCCAAACACTTGGGCCATCTGCTGCTGCTCTTCCTAGGCATTAGCAAGGAGCTGGATCAGAAGTGGAGCCACCAGGACACAAACTGGAACACATATGGAATGCTGCCATTGCAGGTGGACAGCTTTACCTGCTATGCCACAGTGCCAGCCCTGGTGGAAATATTCCATATGGTAGCTACTGGCCACGTGAAGTGTGGCACTTGAGATGTGGCTAGTACAACCAAGGATCTGAGTTTTAACATTTTATAGAATTTGAATTTGTTTACAGGAGTTCAGCACTGTCTACGCTGGGGAGCGCAGGTTGGTAACCTTGCTGTAGTCTTTGCACAGTGGAGGTCAGGGCCAGTTAGAAGTGGTGGTTATAGATGCTCAGAACACCCTTTGCCTGCAACAGGGGTTGGTGCTTCAGTCGGGAAAGCAGACAGGCACTAAAGCCAGCCAGACATGAATCTGAATCTTGGCTCTGCCATTTGTTGACTGTGTGACCTTGGTCCAAATCTCCTTTAAATATTTAGAGTCTCAGATTCCGCATGGGTAAAATATTGGAAACAACACCTGTGAAGATGTCTCTTTCTCCACAAGGTCCTTGGGGCTTGCTTCATTTATCCACTCATTCATTCATTCAACAAATATTTACTGCACACCACCATAGTCAGGGCTTGTTTGGGGTGCAGGTGAACAAAGTTCACGCTGTCTTCACCCTCTAGGAGGTCGTAGGTTGGGATCTGTCAAATGGCAAAATCGTCCAACCCCACCGGGCTTAAATACAGTCCTGAGGACTCAATCAGACACATCATGTAAGGTGCATGCGCCTGAGTTTTTGGGGCTCTCACGACCGCTTGTCTTCTGACACGGGGCTTCTCTCCTGCTGGGGTCCTTGCTGCCTCCTGGCTGCCCAAACAGAAAGGAGACCAGACAGTCCCCAGCCTCCATCCTCTTAGATTACAGACAACTGAACGGGTCCCTCAAACCAAACTGTCAGGACGCACGCATCTCCCCCTGGCCACGTCTCTGGACTTGAAAAGGGCAGGAGACCCCCAAGCTCCCCACCTCACCCCCACCTAACAAGTCCTCCAGGAGAGTCCAGACTGGACATGTGGGAGCTGAGTCCTGTTTTCCTCTGCTCTGAGCTGGAGACCTGAATGCCAGGGTCCCCCATCCTGGGGTCATCTGGGATGCAGAGAGAGAGACTTCAACCTGACCCTAAAATAGAAGTGCCCAGGGGTTCAGGAGCCTGGGAGGTGGTAAGGAGAGGGGTGGGTGCCCACCTGCCTGCCCCACCCTCTCCCCCAGAATGCCAGCTGGAGGTTTAGTCTTCTTTCCTCCTGACACAGCGGCAGACAGGAGCGTCACTTGACCTCAGGGCACATTCCAGAATGAGGCCACAGCCAAGAATAGGGCCCAGGAACCCTGCCACCCATCCCGCCCGCATGAATCACACGCTCCCCAGATCAGTCTCCTTGGGGAGTGGTAGGAAGAGCAGCAGGAGGAGGTGTCAGAGATGGCGCCTGGCAAAAGCGGGGAAGACCTCAAAGAGACCCCGTCACAGCCCCATGGTCACCAGCACAGGAGCCCCCCCGTGGCTTGTGGTCCCTGGGTCCCTTGTTCTTGTGACAAACCCCTGGTGTACCCCGTGACCCAGGCCCCTAGACCTCGGGGAGCCCCCAGGATCAGCGCAAGCACTGAGGGAGACGGAGCCTGAGTGAGGCAGTGGCTTCCCCAAGGAGCTGAGTCTTGGAGGATGAGTAGGCTCACGGCTGATGTCTCGCTCAGGAATCTAGGCCACCGCTGCCTGTGCGTGTGATGGAAATACGTGTCACGTGGCAAGGCCATAAACAGCCCTGGGGGCGCTGCACACGACTGACCGAGGCAGGCTCTTGGATGACACCTGGGGTCTTGATGGGACTGCCGACTGCCCTGCCCAGTGCCATGTGTGTGTCTCACCTGCAGCCAGCCCTGAGGTTCAGGGCTCTGAGTCAGGCTGGCAGGACGCCTGGGTGAGCTGGGGCAGGTGTCTTACCCCTTCCAGCCTTAGTTTCCCCACCTGCAAAACCGCAAGTGCCTGTCTCACACAGCTGCCCGGGGTCTGTCACAGGGCAAGCTCACTCCTGCTGACGTGGCTGGAACAAGATGGACGGCCGGGCCGGGGTCAGGGAGGAGACTCCCCAGCCTCGGGGGGTCACCACAAGTTGGGTGTTCATTCTCCCCTCCTGCCCCTTCCATCCTCAAGCCCCGCCCTCTGGCCCTCCTGTCCGTGGGTGACATCACACTGTGGAGCAGCTGGCCAGACAATGGAGCAGAGTGTCCTAGGAGGGTGGAAACTGCCACACTGTCCTGCTCCAGAGGCCCCGGGCACTGGAGACCAAGCAGAGGCGTGGTCTGGGGGTGGGGAGGAGTGGGTGTTCGGCGTGGCCAGAAGCAGGAGGAGCTGCCTTGGTGAACAAAGCCTCCATCTCCCTACATCCTGGGACCTAGACACTGGGAGGCTGCCTGGCAACTGGGCCCGAGTTCAGCCTTCGCTGAGCCGAGCCTTTGTTGGGTGGCAGGCACTGCACACAGCTTACAGGAAGGGAGAGAAAGGACTCCTGTTTGGTTTCAAGGACAGAAAATAAATACCAGATAGAAGGTAGGAAATTAGGTGCCTATATTTTCTTTTTAAAATTTTTTTAAAAGATTTTATTTATTTGAAAGTCAGAGTTACACAGGGAGAGGAGAGGCAGAGAGAGAAAACGGGAGAGATCTTTCATCCACCGATTCACTCCCCAGATGGCTGCAAGGCCAGAGCTAGGGCAGACCAAAGCCAGAAGCCAGGAGCTTCTCCTGGGTCTCCCACCAGAGAGCAGGGGCCCAAGGCCTTGGGCCATCTTCTACAGCTTTCCCAGGCCATAGAAGAGAGCTAGATCAGAAGTGGAGCATCTGGGATTCGAACAAGCACTCATATGGGATGCCAGCACTGCAGGCAGTGGCTTTACCCACTACGCCATAGTGCCGGCCCTCAGTGAGGACACTGAGGCAGAGAGGCAGTAGGTAAGGGGCAGAGCCCAGACGCAGGCCTGTACCAGTCCGACTCCACAAGCTGGGCTTTTGCAGCTGGGGACGTGGTGGGCAGGGGCCTCCCGAACCTCTCACACCTCCACCAGGGAAGCAGGGCAGCAACCTGCACCCTGCTGTGCCAGCCCAGTCACAGCACTCGGCCCCACGATCCTGCAGGGCCTGGCCTGTGGACACTCACTCACTCGGGCTACGGTAATGCTCCACGGAGCACCTTGGGCGAGGGGCAGGTTCAATGGAAGGTCCCCCACCTCTGAGAGCAGGGTGACTGCAACTCACTCCATCCCGGTGGCTCAGGTTTTTGTTTTTTATTTTGGTTTTGGTTTGGTTTGGTTTTTTGTTTTGTTTTGTTTTAGATTTATTTATTTACTTGAGAGCAGAGAGGCAGAGTTACAGAGGGAGAGACAGAGAGAAAGACCTTCCATCTGCTGGTTCACTCCCAAATGGCCACAGTGGCTGGAGCTGCACCGATCCGAAGCCAGGAACGAAGAGCTTCTTCTGGGTCTCCCACATGGGTGCAGGGCTTTCTCAGGCCATCATCAGGGAGCTGGATTGGAACTGGAGCAGCTGGGACTCGAACCAGTGCCAATATGGGATGCCGGTGCTGCAGGTTGATGCTTAACCTACTGCACCACAGCGCCTGCCCCTTGGTGGCTCAGTTTTGTGTTCAGTGTCTCTCTAGAGCTTGTCTGGTGCCCTTGCTGCAGATGAGATGGGCTGGGTGGAGCTGGGCCTGGCCTGGATTCTTTGGGCTGTGGCCAGCATGAGAAAACCCAGAGAAGTGTGCAGGGGAGAGGTGCCTATTGTGGGGGACAGACAACTGGGGGTGAGCAAGCTCCAGGGTTGGGCGAGGCCGTGAGCCCCACCGAGGCCAGAGTGCTGCCATCCCATCACCAGAACCGAGTCCCGTGTCCCGAGCACACCTGGAATGGGCCCCACCCAGAGACCCCTGGGTGTCACACCAGGGCAGCACACTCCCTGCCTACCCCCCCGCCCCCGGCTGCCTCTTCCGCCTTCCCGCCTCTGCACCTGACCCGGTCAGCAGCAGGACCTGGACTCTGTACACCGTCGCAATGGGCTGGGAGGCCTGAGGTTGTGCCAGGGCCTCAATGCCGCCTCCCGCCTCCCAGAGCTGCGCAGAGCACCAGAGCGAAGGAGTCCAGTGGTAGCAGGTGTCTTCCGCCACTCACTCGCCGTCCACCCACCGGCCACACTTGCCTCTAGGGTCACCAGAGCACAGGACTCTAACTACCCCTCCCCCACACCTCTCCCCTGCAAGCTCAGCCCCAGCGGACCACACACAGCCCTGTGGATACAATGACCTTTTAATCGGTGCCTCCATGCCAGTATCCGAGCTAGAAGGAGGCTGCCCCACCTGCCCTTCTTCAGCTTTGCAGGGGCAGGGACGGGGAAGGGCTGAGGATGGGATGAGGCGCAGATGCAGAGCTGATAGTGGGGTTCCCAAATCTTTCTAGTGCCGGGGTGCCTGGGGCCCACACAAAATCCTGGAAACAAAAGAATCACCTCCCCTAGCACCTCCTTCCAGGTCCCCGCGGGCTCCCGAGGCCACCACCAGGTGGAAGCATCGAGCAATGTTGCTCCCTTCCCAAGCCTGGCTCCCCTCCTCTCCGGCGCCTGCCGGCTTTTTCCTGCATTCCTCTCACTAGCAGGACAGACCCTGGCCTTGGCCTTGTCTGCTGTGCGTGAAGGAAGCCAGGGGCACGTGATGGGAGCGCTTGACAGCTGAGAGGGCCAGCCTGGGGATCCCAGCTCCGTGTCCGGGCACGGAGAGCGGTGACAGCATCGCCCTGTGATCTAGCACCTGGCCCCAGAATTGAATGGAACTGAACCGACAACCCAGTGCCCCCAAGGAACAGAAGGCTGTGATGTGCAACGCCACGGTGGCCCCAGGGGCATGGGCTGACCACCCAGAGGCACCTGTCCCAGCAGCTCCCACCCTGGGCAGGTCGTTTGCTGGGTTGGACTACGTCTCTGGCCTCCCACTGCCCATGACCCCTAGCACCAAGTGGTCTGTGTTCGCGGTGGAAAATTTGTCCCATTAAGTCCCTGGGCCCTCCTATCTCTCCCTACCTTCTCCCTCTGCATGCTAATCCATCATCGGTGCCTGTGGCTGTGTCTTAAACCCTAGCTAGACTGCCTGGCTCAGGGATGGGGAGTGGGGGCCTCGGCTCAAAACAGGTGCGGCCCCCTGTTGAACCCAAAGAACAGAAGTCGATTTCAGACCATCCCCTCCAGGCTGACTTTTTTTGTTTTGTTTTGTTTTTTTTTCCTGCCATGCTGACTGCTAGTTCCCTGCTAGCCCAGGACTGTCTGATCTGACCTTGCCCGGCCGGCTGACCAAGGGGCATCGGGGGTGGGTGGGGGTATATGGGGGAGGGGCAGGGAGGGCGGGAGGGCTTCAGGGCAAGGCCAGGAGCTCCTTGAGGACGTCACAGGTCTTCTTGTGCACGACCTCGTGGAGCTTTCGGACCCGCCGGGCGCTCGCCGCGCCCACGAAGCTGTCAGGCCGCAGCATGGCCATGCCGCCCTCCACGTCGCCCATGAGGATGAGCGGCGTCTCCCCCGCCGTCACGTTGGGGCAGGGGCAGGCCCAGTCCACGTGCAGCAGGGTGACCTCCAGCGGCTCACGGCCCAGGAACTTGAGGCCCATCTTGTCATCTTTCAGGACCTCGTCCACGGTCACCAGGGCGCGGCCCGAGTCCGGCTCCTCGGTCAGCTCAGAGACCCGGCCCAGGATGACGAAGTCACTGCGGCAGAAGCTGGTGACGAGCTTCTGCCGGGGCTTGCAGGCGCGGCAGCGCTGGTTGCCACGGGGGACCGGGCACGACTCCTCGCAGGCCTCGCGGCTCTCGAAGTTGTTGCCGTTGCCCTCGCAGCCACCGTAGACGAAGGACTGGCACTGGCCCGTCTGGCTGTTGTAGGCCCAGCGAGGCGCGTAGGCCTTGCAGGGCCCCTGCAGAGCTGGCAGGCTGCACACAGCCAGCGGCCCGCTCATGCAAGCCAGCACGCAAGCCTCGTAGGTCTCGAAGTGGTTGAGGTTGCGGTGGCAATGGCCGAAGGTGAAGGTGAGGCAGTTGTTGGCCTGGGCGTCGAAGTGCCAGCGGGTCTGCTCCTCGCCGCAGTCCTCGCTGTCAGGGGGCTGCAGGCACTCGGCCGCTGGGAAGGCCGTGCCATTGGGGCTGCTCTCGGAGGTGGCCGCGGCCTGGCCCCCCCGGACTACCGAGAGCGGGAAGTCTGCCCTCAGGACCCCGGCAGCATTCCGAGCCGTGCATGTGTAGATGCCGGCATCCTGGGGCTGGGCGTTGTAGATGACCAGCTGGGCGATGTTGGTGACCACCACGTTGCCACGCACGTGGTTGGGCCACATGACCACGTTCTCCCGATCCTCCAGCTGCTTCTCCCAGCTGATCTCAGGCCGGGGCCGGCCCACCACGTCACAGAGGAAGCTCACCGTCTCACCCACCGTGACTGACTGGTGCACAGGGTGGTTGAGCAGGGCTGGGGCCGCCATGTCCAGCCCGGGGGTCTCGGGGGAGGCCGTGGTGGGGTGCACGGTGGTCTCGGGCGGCGGAGGGCTGGTGTTGGGCCAGGTGAAGTGATAGCGGCAGGTGACGACGGCCAGCGTGATGCCCTTGGAGCAGGCCTCGGCATCCATGTAGCAGCGGTTGTAGTAGGTGAGGCCGTCCGAGGCGCAGGTGAAGCTGGGCTCCTTCTCGCAGCGATCTCGGCACTTGCACACGGGCTGCCCGTCCCAGATGTCGCACTCGGAACCCTGCTGCAGACACATGAAGTGGTCGCACGTGGCTTCCTTGGGCATGCCCACCGGGCCCTTCTTCCCTCTCACGTCCATGTAGCGGGCCGCCACGCAGCTCTTGGTCCCGCACACGTTGGGACAGCACTTCTCGTAGGTCTCACACTCCTGAAAGAGCCACACAGGGAGGCTTGAACAGGGGAGCCCAGCGGACCAGGGACAGCACCCTGGCACTAGCCCTGGGTTTGTGGGGGAGGGGTTACCGTGCTCAGCATCTAGTGGGGGCCGATATTTGATGACGCTACAAGGGAACACAGGATGACACATCTTTTCCGAGAGCGCAACTCCTGTCTCTCTCGATGGCTCACTCCCAAGCCTGACCCGGGGGCAACCGTCATCCCCCACCCTGTACCAACGATGCTGACTCCAGGACAGAGGGGGAAGGAGCTCGCCCAAGGTTGCAGGGACCCTGGAGTGGGACCCCAGGCCTCTCAGAGGGGAGTCTTCTTACCGCTGGGGGTGGATACCACCCAAGAGTTCTGGGCTGCCCGCGCTTTTGTCTTTGTCTCCTTCGGGGAGACCGCTCTGGCCTCCCAGCTGCCGGGGTGACCTCCCTCCACGCTCCTCCTCCTGGCTGTGAGTGAGCCGATGCACACCTGGAGCCGAGGGTCAGGTGAGGCCCTACCTTGTCCAGAGCCCAGAGGGAGGGCAGGCATCTGGGGCCAGGATGCTGGGTCTCGCGCCACAGATGGCGCCGGCCCCGGGTGCTAGGCTCCGGGCGGCACAGCTCGCAGGGAGCAGGCAGCAGGTGAGAAGGCCTCTTGTGTGGCAGAAGCCAGCGAGGCCATAATCCCCTGGGTTTCTGTGGAGCCACGTCAGGCATTAGCTTAATTCCTCGAAATTAGCGGCGTGTTCCTGGAGCCGACACAAACAAGGACTTCACGTGGTGCTTTCGACAATAACACCTCGTACCCACCGGGCAGGCGGGCACGGCTCCTAATCCTGCACCAGGCAGTGGCTCCGAGCGCCGCTCCCCACGAGGCTGCTCCAGCCTCTTTGACATTCCACATGGGCTAAGGGGGCGCCCCTGCCGCGGGCCGTGTGCGGCCGCCTGCCTGGCTTGTTTACTGTTCTCTGCTCTCCGCTCAGAATGGCGACTTTGTTTTGCAGTCTTTGCTTGGCATAAGCAGCTGGGCCACTCCAGGGGAGGTCTGCGACAGGGATGGGCGGCTCTTGGAGCTGGGGTCCCTGGGGGGGGGTACTGAGGGCCCGAGGGAAGGTGGGGCAGCAGAACCGGCTCCTCCACTCCTGGAGGGGCTCCGGCCCAGGAAGCTCCTTCTAGACTCTGGGGGGCCTGGAGTCCAAGTCTGGGGTGGCAGGAGGAAATTTGAGGGATCCTCAGGATACTGTTCAGCTTCAGGGGGGCCAGAAGGCACCCTTGGGCTACCTGAGTCCCCACCCCACAGGTGCCTCCTTCCCAAAGACGCAAGCTCAGCCAGGGTTGTGCTGTCCCCAAGCCCCGCCCGATTTGTCGGGCCAGTCTGTGCCAGAAGAAGAGATCTCCCTGTAAATGTAGCCCCCTAGCCGATGGGCACAGCCCCCACCCAAATCTCCTTGGCTTCCTCTCCCTGGGCATCACCCGTACCCACTGGCAGCATCTGTCCTGAGGACTCTGACCATTGCCCCCAGGCCCTGTGGGGCAGAGGCCACTCGACCCAGGGCAGCCCTGGGCTCTCACGTGGGTGACCGGGCATCTACAGGAGCTCCAGGTTCTCTCACGTTCCCTGGTGACGCCCAGTCCGGACTTGGAGCCCTGAGAAACTCCACGCTGTTCTCAGAGCTGGCCAGGCCGGGCAGGAAAGTGGCTGTGCCTGCAGCAGGTGTAGGCACCACGGGCCCTCTGCCCCTGGGGAGTGGGCATCGATGGCCCCTGAGCGTGGCCTGGGAGCCAGGAGCCCTGCTAGCTGCCGAGTCCTCGGACGAGGATCAGAGGCAGGACCAAGGAATCTGGTAGGGCTGAAACTCATGTGCTTCCCCCCGGGGACACGGGAGTGCGTTCAGGGCGGGGCTGGCCCTGCCTTCAGGCAGCCTGGATGCGCTCTGCGTAGGGAGAATGGAGGCAGGCCTTGTCAGACAGACACAGGTTGCCAGCCTACCCTGGCCTCGCTCTGCACAGCCACTCTCCCCTGCCTGCCTGCTGCCCACCGTGCTGATGTGCCTGGCAATCCACACACGACGTGCCTGGTACAACGTGAGCTCACTGCAGCCCCCAGCCAACAGGACGGGGGGATCCGTGGGGTCCTGGTCCCCAGGGAACTCACACATCACATCCACCTCTTCTTCCAGGCCTCGGGGTTAACCGACAGGCATCAGGCCCTGTTTATCTCCAAGTGGACGGGGCCTGTGTCCCTTCACAGTCCTGGACCCTGCGGGGTACTCCCGCGTGGTCCCCACCCGGCAGCTTCCCTACCCCCCACCGTCCCACGTACTCACGTGGCCCACCTGGGGTTCTGGAGTCCCACTCACCTGGTCGGTCTCACATTCCCGCTTGCAGGTGCTCTGTGCATCCACCCAGAGGTTGGGGTTCATGTCGTTGGGGCAGACGCCAGCATGGGAATAGCGGATGGGTGGCGGCGCCAGGCCTCGCGGGGGCACCCCAAGCAGCAGCAGCAGCAGCAGCCCCCAGCGGGTCCAGAGCCGGCGGCGGCACCCCAGGGCCCACATGGTACGGACTGCGATGGCCAGAGACCTCCCCTGTGACGACGCCAGGGGCTGGGGCCCACCGGGGCCTTCTTCTCCGGGGCTGGAGACACCTGCCCTCCCCACCCCAGCAGGTCTCCTTGCTCAGGCGGCGGCGGCGGTGGCGGCAGCGGCTGCTGCTGTGGCTGCCTCCACCAAGTCAGTGCAGCCTGCTGGGCTGTGCGGCTTCAGATAAAAGAAAGGTCTTTGGAAGGAAACTCCCCTCCTGGGTGTGCAGGGAGAGGAGCCGCAGCAGGGGCCTCCAGCTGGATTTATATCCTGGGCGCGCCACCCGAGTGGGAGCGAGCTAACCTGACGCCTGTCACAGGCAGGCTGCTGGCGCCTCTGTCCCGTGGCTGATCACAGACTTATTGCAGAAGGGGGGAAAAAAAAGCTGGAAGCAGTTTAGGCAGCGTATCTGGCACGGTGGGACACCTGCTTGTTTTTGACTCCAGGAGGCCTTTAACCCCTTCCAGAGCCAGAAATGGCATGTGCTTTGGGGGAGCTGGCTCCGGGACACGCAAGCTCACTGCAAAGAAGGATTTGTTTCCCTCTCCGGCCCCCCCTCGCCCCGCTCCTCGGGGCCGGGCCCCCTCCTCCCCTGTGGCCACCTCTACAGAACACACGATCGCTTGTTACAAGGAGGGACCTGCAGCCGCCGGGTTAGCGTCGCCCGGCTCGATAGTACATTTGAGAGCAAATGACGTGGAAAAATAACAAGTTCACGGCCATAGCAGGGCGGGCCTGAGCAGCGCCGTGCTGTGTAAGCCGACTCCCACCCCAGCACCAGGTCCCCCTAGTTGGGGAGGGGGGCGGTTTGCGCACCGACAGTTCCCTGTCTCTGGGCCCCTGGCAGTCTGCGACTTAAGTCCCAGCTTGGGGGAGTGTTCCCCAGATCATTCCAGGGACACCTACCCGCTGAGCTCCACTCCCCGGCGCCCGGGACGTATCACGTTCCTCGTCCTCCATGGACACTTGTCGGCTCCAGGAAAATCTACGCGGTGACAGCGGCTCGGGATCGCGCTGCCCAGCCAAGCTGCCCTCGCCCATGACCCACTGCGGCCGGTCCTCTGTGAGCTCTTTCTTCGCGCCAGGCACCGTCTAGGCACAAGTCTGGGGAGGGGGATTGGAATAGGAGAGGGCAGGCAGCTTGCTGGAGGTCACGCACGGTGAGCAGCCACGGTGACACCGGCTGCCGCGTGTCTGGGTCTCCCTGTGTGCCAGGGTCACCCTTGGCACCATTTCACTCCACTCGTGCAACAAGCCCCGATTCAGGTTTGAGGAGAGGACGCACAGAGAATCTAAGCATGGCCCGGACTGCACAGCTCCATGGGCCCCCCCGCTCAGCGCAGGAGGCAGGGACACCGTCCCTCTGGGTGTGGGCAGGGGCCTCTGGCACCACCCTTCCCCCACCCATCTGTCGGAAGTGCTGTCGAGGCCCAGCCCTGACTGTGGTTCCTACAGACTGGACGCCAGCGGCGGTGTTTGTGGAAGGGCTGGGAAGCCAGCCAGAGGCTGCCAGGGCTGGGGGCAGGAAATGGCTGGGATCGACAATGCCACACGCTGAGTGTTTGGGTGTCGGTCACTGGATCTTGGGGAAGCGGGAGGGGCCTCGCCAAGGCCAAACCGCCTGGGCTTCTAGGAGCGGTGACCGAGCTGCCCTGTCTGGGGGAAACGCACGCGTCACAGCTGGAGGGCGTCTCAGTTGAAGGGGAAACTGAGGCCCAGGCTCAGGCCTCTAGGTGCAGCAGGCCCCGTTTCCCCTCCCGGAAGCCAGCGCAGCGCCTAATTGGACTGTGAAGAGGCTGCGCGCCCCGTGCCTCCCCTGCAGACTTTTCCTCTTTCGCGCTGGGTGGTGCCTTGCTTGCCCTCCGGAGCTGCCTCCTTCCCGGTGTGGGTTCTTCTGTCTTCCCGGCTCACGTCAGATCGCTAATGAAGGGTGTCAGATCCTAATCCTCTAACTGATTGGAATAAACCTCCCTCCGAGGCCAGTCCCAGTAATGAAGCCAGACAGCGGGCGACGCCGGCTGCTTTGAATTCCCTGTAATTTCATAAACTCGTGTTCCAGCTGCTCCGAGCCAGGGCCTCAGCACAGCCCTCAGCCCGGCGCACCCTGTGCAGCCTGGTTTGATATCGCAGAGGGAAATGGACAGTGACACGTTTCTAAGCAGGGCGTGGAAGGATTGTCAGGGCCCCAGGACTCGAGGATGAGAGTCCAGGGAGAGGAGGTGCATTTCTGGGAGGCGGTGGAGACCGTGGGAGAGAGTGGGGGGAGCAGCAGGAGGGCGAGGGGGGGAGCAGAAAAGCAGGAACTCGCCCTCCTGGCCTCGCTGCCCGAGTTGATGGAGCAAGGGCGCACGGGCCCCACTCCTGGCCACTGTGCTCCGAGAACACAGAGCAGCGTGCAGAGCGCAGGGGCCCCGGGATGCTCTGGCTCTCCCTCTCAGCCCTTGCAAGTCTCCCACCGAAACACAGCTCGGAACAATAAATAACATCTGATCGGGGCTGGGAGCCCACCCAGCCGACCGTGCTACATCATCACTGCTGACCTCACGGCCGGGAGGGGAGACCCAGTCCTGGAGAGGCTTAGGCCCGGCCTGCCCAGGGTGGGGGTGGGGTGCCCAGGCCCGTCCCAGCCGTGGCATGGCTGTGGGCAGGGGCAGACCTTCCCCTCCCCTCCTCCGACCCCAGCCTGCGCTCCGTGCAAGCTGGCGCCGGCTTCCAGCCCCTCCACAGAGCCTGGCCGCCCTTGTTTAGCAGCCGCTCTGGGAGTGCTGGGAAGGCTCCTCCTGTGCGCCCTCCTTCCCAGAGCCCCTCCGCCTGGCTCCCTTCCCGGCCCACGGCGTGTCTGCCTCCCTCATACTCCTCGCACACCACATGACCCAGTGCAGGCTCCTGCCCAGGGGCTCATCTGCCCAGGCCCCCCACTCGGGCTGCAGGGGACAGGGCCTGGGCGGGGTCTGCTGGGCAGAGGCTGGGCCTCAGGGCTGGGCTGAGCTGGCCAACTGCCAAGGGGACCCTGCCTTTCACCCTGGCCCCAGGGACCCAGGCCCCAGCCTAGGCCCTGTTGCCTCGCAGCGATGAGAAGTCAAAGAGGGTTGGGCTCTGACCTGTCTCAGAGGAGCCCCTGCCACCCTCACCATTGCTAGGGGTAGAGAGAGCACCTGCTGGGGGTGTGGTGGCAGGACATCTCCCCAGGACAGTGAACTTCAGGTGACCCTTGACCTCAGGTCACCATGAACAGAAGGCCTCCTGGACCACTGGGGTCTTGACAGCTGACACCCTCGCCCACTTCGCGTGGGGACACACATGACCACAGAAGAAGACCACAGGAGCCACGGCAGCACTGCAGATGCCGGGACCTCACACGCTGACCACGCCTCTCCCCTTGCAATGCGGCTGCTCCTTCTGTCCCTAATGATTCCTTTCCACCAATGTTTTCTAAAGCACCTACTGTGTGCTAAGCTCTGGGCACATGGAGACCACAGCAGGGGTAGAGTGCAGGCCAGCACACAAGCACACAGAAGGGCAGGAAGAACCGGGCGGGGGCTGGGGCAGGGCTCAGAGAGCAGAGAAGGCAGCAGTTTCCTGTGCCTCCCTCGGCAGGGCCCAGGCACAGGGGAGGTGAGGAAGCTGCAGCAGGTCGTGGTGGTGGGGTGGGGGTGGGGTAGGGGCTGCAGGTCTGGCTTTGGCTTAGCTCCTCGCCTGGGGCGGCCCCAGCAGAGTCCAACCGCCCTGCATGGGCCCCAGGCCTGAGGCAGCCACACTTTCTCCCAGTTGGACGGGGGAGGCCACCCCCCCCCAAGTCCCGGCCCAGGAGCCTGCCTTGGACCCTCACACATGGCCAGGGGTAGGAAGGATCGGAGGAGCAGGAGTCAGGGTGCCAGGAAGGAGGAAGCGGAACCGGGGCTCGGTTAGAGGCAACGATTACCCAGACCCCGGCCCAGGAATTCAATAAAGCAGTCGGGCTCATTACTCAGCTGGGGACCCCCCGCCCGAGCGTCCCCAGGCCTGGGTTACATTACAGGGCCGCTGGGGCTTGCAGTGATTATGGGGCCTCAGCAGATGGGGGAAGTGGCCGGGGGGAGGCAGGCAGCTGTGGGCCACGTGACTTGTCGGCATCTGTGTGGAACAGGACACGGGAGGGTCTGCCCTGAGCTGGGGGGCGGGGCGGGGGGCACAGCGCTGAGCGGGGCTCTGGGAATCACAGCATCGGTAAAGGGGCGTATTGAGACCGCTGCCAGGGCTGGGGCCTGCCGGTGCATCCAAGCCAGGGGACACTGGAGGACTGGCGGCCGGGGCTCTGTGTCTGCCCCGAAGCACCACGAGGAGACTCACCCTGGCACAGCACGGGGCGGGGCGCCTGCAAGCACGGCGTGTCTTCCGGGAGGGTCTCAGCGGCACCACATCCACTCAGGAGTTGCCGGGCGAGGGGTCAACACTCATCCTGCTCCCATCAGGCCCTGCGGGGGGCCACCTCCGCCCCCTCCACCACCCTCCCATCCACCCCACCCCACCCCACTGAAGCCGCTCCAGCTCCCTCCTCTGTGATCCATGTCCTCATTCCTGCAGCTTTGCCTTGATGGATCAGCTGCAGAGAGCCCCGGGCAGCCCTCAGCCAAGACAAACAGCGGAGGGCAGAAGCCCCACTCTGCTGTGCTGGAGACCAGCCAGGGCCCGTGTGCACTTTCTCAGGCCTGTGTGTGTGTGGGAGGGGTACTTAGCAAGGCTACACACAGAGGCACGGCCTCCCTTCCATCCTCACAGCTTCCCCTGGCCGCTCAGCCCCCCACCCTCCTGGGTGGCTGCCCACTCCTCTCTTCTTTTGGATGAGAGGGCTGTGGCCCCTAGGGCCTCCCTGCTCCCCCCCGCTGCTGAGCCAGGGACACGTGTCCTCCAGGGGCAAATGCATCCCCAGACTCGTCCCCACTGTACGTGCATGCCTGGGTGTGTGTGTGTGTGTGTGTGTGTGTGTGTGTGCGGAGCGTGAGGAGGGTATGAGAGGCAGGCCTTTTCCTGGCGGACCATTAATCCAAGACTTCTGGCTTGAAGATGGCTTCCCCATGCCAAAGACAAGGGCCAAAACATTTTACCATGAACGTCTGCCTCTGCTTCTCCAGGCTGCTCACTTGCCCCCTTCTCTCTCAGATGCTGGAAGCTGCCACGTGGCTCTTTCAGCTTTTTTAGAATTAGTATTTATCTGAAAGTCAGAGAGAGAGAGAGAGAGAGATTGAGATCTCCCATCTGCTGATTCGCTCCCCAAATGCCTACAGCAATCTGGGTTGGGCCAGGCTGCAGCCAGGAGGCCAGAACTCCATCCAGGTCTCTCACGTGGGTGGCAGGGACCCAAGTCCTCGAGCCATCATCTGCTGCCCCCCAGGATGCACATTAGCAGGAAGCTGGATCAGAAATAGAGGAGGGGCCGGCGCCGCGGCTCACTAGGCTAATCCTCCGCCTTGCGGCGCCGGCACACCGGGTTCTAGTCCCGGTTGGGGTGCCGGATTCTGTCCCGGTTGCCCCTCTTCCAGGCCAGCTCTCTGCTGTGGCCCGGGAGTGCAGTGGAGGATGGCCCAAGTGCTTGGGCCCTGCACCCCATGGGAGACCAGGAGAAGCACCTGGCTCCTGCCTTCGGATCAGCACGGTGCGCCGGCTGCAGCGGCCATTGGAGGGTGAACCAACGGCAAAGGAAGACCTTTCTCTCTGTCTCTCTCTCTCTCTCACTGTCCACTCTGCCTGTCAAAAAAATAAATAAATAAAAAATTTTTAATAAAAGAAAAAAAAAAGAAATAGAGGAGGGACTTGAACCCAGGCACTCTCACGAGGAAGACGGACAACCTGAGCAGAGGCGTAACCTGTGAACACAGCGCCTGCCCCTGGCTTTCCCCTCGGCCTCCCTCAGTCACTGCCCTCTGCCGTCTGGCTGGGAATGTCTTCTATCTTTAAGCGACAGCTCTCCAGAGGCCTCTGAGGACGAGGAAGGCCAAAGCGACGTCCCATTTTGACATCGCTTTTAAATGATAAAACAAAACAAAACAAAAAGCCCCAACTGGTTACACAAGACGTGACAACGTTTAAATGTTCCATGTTGGAGAGGGTCGAATGGTGGCCCCCAACAGACACGTCCACCTCCTCCCCCCAGAAGCTGGGAAAAGGGTACTGGCAGATGTGAGTCAAGGACTGAGAGGAGATCATCCTGGGTTCTCGGAGAGTCCTAGCTCCAACGACAGGTGTCCTTATGAGAGACAGGCCTGGAAGGTCTGAGACCCAGAAGGCGGCAGAAGCAGGGATCGCAGTGATGCAGCCACAAGCCCAGGGACACCGGAGCCCCAGACGCTGGGAGAGGCAAAGAGCAGCTCTCCCAGAGACTTGGGTGGGGGGGCAAGATCCCACCATCCCTTCAGTTTGGGAACTCTGGACTCCAGACCTGTGAGATCATAAACACGGGTTGTCCTAGACCACAGATGTGTGGTCATTTATGACAGTATCCCCACGATGTGAAAACACCTGCCAGACACATTTCATTCTTCCTGGTCAGGAGAAAATGACATCGCCACCAAGACCTGCCCCTTTGTAGTTCCTCTAAAACAGCTCTCGGGGGTGCCTCTCTGTTCTGACAAGGTGAAGGCTCAATGGCACACACACACACACACTTATGTGTATATATGTGTACACACACACTTATGTGTATATATGTGTACACACACACTTATGTATATACTTAAGTATGTACGCACTTACATATATATATATATATACACACACACATACATACACACACACATATATATGCTACGATTTTGGTTGTTTTACTCTTTAATAGAAACTTATGGCCAAGACAGTCTCAAAGACAGTAGGACTCAGGTGAGAACTGGGGGGCTGGATCCAGCCCGCAGGGCCAGAGACGCTGGTGGGAGGGGACAAGCTTTTAGGAGGCAAGCCCTGACAGAGGGAACGGAGCAAAACTGAGTCCATTTCCATTGTTTTTTAATTTTTATTGATTTTTAATTTTAATTTGAAAGGCAGAGAGAGAGAGAATCTTTCACCTGCTGGTTCACTCCCCAAATGCCTATAACGGCCAGGGCTGCGCCAGGCCAAAGCAGGAATCTGAAACACAGCAAGGTCTCTTAAATGGGTGGCAGGGAGTCCAAGTACTTGAGCCATCATCTGCTGCCTCCCAGGGTGCACACTGGGGAAGCTGGAGTCAGAAGCAGTCAAGACTCAAACCCAGGCTCTCTGATACGTGATGTGGGCATCTTTACTGCTGTAAACCTTCCCCCCAGCCACGTCCACCTTTAATCTGTGATCTTTGAGGCTTTCAAATATTCTGACTGCAACATCATTGGAAATTCACTTTTCTTTTTTTATGTGTATATATATATATATATATAT